ATGCAAACCTCATCATTATTGTTTGGTACCTGAAATGAGCAAGGTTGTAATTGCTAACTAGCTATTTAAACATTCCAATACCTGTCCTTGGTTGTTAAGGTCGATCAGAGTTAAACATGGAAGAACAGAGTTTAAACATGGAAGAACTCTGGCTCAGGCAGGCATAGTAACCCCAACACTAGGGTAGTAGTAGCACTTTAACTATACCAGCATCATTTAAGGGATGCAACTTTTATGTGTAGACAAGGCCTTAACCCGATAAACTGTTTTTATAGTTCTTTCCCTCCTCTTTCAGCACCTGAAAGTAGGTTTCTTTTTTACCAGCCCTGAATCACATGCAGTTCAAGAATTAATGTTCAAAGAGAGAGAGAGGAATGAATATAGTAAAAAACAAGAACATTCAGTTTTCAAAACTAAAGGCTGAATCCAGTTAAAGCACTTAAGCATATGCTTAACTTTGTCTGACAGTTTCCTATTGACACACGTAAAGTTAAGCACCCTACTTAAGTGTTTGCAGTGTTAGGGACTAAAAGATTGATTGAAAAATGTGAATCTCAGATATGAGGGTTGAAAAGAACCATTTTTGGGTCACCTTACCTAGATCATCCCCTTGTGTCATGGTAGGGCTGTTGTAAGATAATTATCTGTGTTGTAAGTACACCGTGAGAATTATTGTCTGTAACACATGTTTAGATTCTTGGGTGTGAAGTACCACAGTTGTTATGGTTATATGGTGAGAGTTCTATAGAATGAATCTTCAATTAGTTCCTTGTCTAGTCTTGAGTGTACAGCATGGCAATGGTTATGTTCTAGTTATTACTTTAACTGCATCTGATGAAGTGGGTTCTAGCCCACGAAAGCTTATGCCCAAATAAATTTGTTAGTCTCTAAGGTACCACAAGGACTCCTCGTTGTTATTACTTTATAGTTATTACGCTGCATTACTTGGAAGGTATGAACCATTAGAACATTGTGTGTTGGTTTTTGTTTCTTCAGTGTGATATTAGTTCTGGGTCAATGAAGGGAAGTCAGTATTCCCATCAAGAATAATTTCTGCAAATACACACCACCCTCTTGCACACTGATTCCCTCTCCTCTGTGTCCCTTTCCTGGGAAGATGAAGAATTCTCTCAGTTTTCCGGTCTTCTTTCTGACAACCAGAAGAAGCATTCCCTGGTACTGCTACTTGCTCCCTCTGTTCCTCAGTACCGCTGTCTGTCTCCCTGACCTCCCCTATGTAAATGCCCTCCCCTTTCGGCTCCCTGTTCAGAGAGTTGGCAGGGGGTGTGGAATTCAATTCAATCATCCTTTAAGTAGCAACTGATGCTTCCCAGCACCCGGCATCCCTTTTTCATCACAGTTCCCACTTCTGCTCTCCAAACACCCCTAGAAACTAGCCCATTCCAAGATACTATCTACCTGGGACTTAGTCATTTCCAAAGTGAAATATATACAGGCCTACTAATTAAGGGGAAGTATAAAAAAATACATTCTTACTGTTTAGGCTTTAAAAATAGGCCTTGTTTGAGATGTGCAAAGCAAACATTGGTTCTCAATCTATAAGCACGATAGTAAAACATTAGATTCAGATATTAATTTCACAGAATAAGATTAGCTTGTAAAATATGTTAAGGTTTGTTGGCAGTAATGTCAGCAGTCATTAAAATGAACGGTTAAGATTCATTGTCAAAGCAAATAAGGTGTAGGGTGCTGAGAACCAGGGCAAACTGCAATTTGATAAACAGGCTTTGTCCTCCTGCATGTTAAATTAACCTCCAGAATGGATGTCAGTTATTGTAAATAGTAATTGGGTGAGAAGAGTGAA